GTTCGTGAGACTACTGACAGGAATAAAAATAACAAACTCTATATTCTGCTTTTAAGTGAGTTGTTTTGAATATTTTCAATTAACTTTCTTCCTCCATATCTTTAATAGCTTTGCGCTTGTATTTTATGACTTGACTCCAGCTGTGTGACGTTAGCTTGGCATTAATGAAATTAGCCAGCAGTGCTCTAAGTGTATTGCTGGCACTGAGCCATGGGACTTACATAGAGGAATCTAAATGATGCAAAGTGATTTCATGTATGCAAGCTGCACCTCACAGTTTTACATAGATTTTTACAGATAACTTACTAACTAATTACAATGCTTTTATATGATTTCAGTTCAACAATTCGGCCAAGTCGGTCGCCTGTTTTGAAAACCTGGTCCAAGCAAATGTCCGAAATAAAAAGATTCTGAAGGAGGCGGTACAGAAGATCACAGCGAATGGCACCACTGACTATAAAATTGGCTTCAAGGAGGCTTTTAACCAGCTCTCCTCAGTAAGTATATATAATGTAGCAAATTATGGGACCATAATATGACTTTTTACCCCTCAAAAATATAATATTTACCGTCCTCCACAACATAGAATTTTTTGGTCTTAATATACATTACAAGTAAATTACAAGTATAAAATATAGTGTGTATTGTGTGTGTGTGTGTGTGTGTGTGTGTGTGATATATATATATATATATATATATACATTTTTTTTTGTTTTGTTTTGTTGAAGTTTTTAGTTTATTGTGCCATCTTGTGGACTGTGCTACTCATAGGCTGCTCAGCAAAACTTCAGAGTATTTAAGATTTAGTATCAGCATCAGTTAATTTTAAAGCTAGTGGCATCACAGTGATTTATTGTATTTCTTCCTTTCATAGATGAATGTTACAAGAGCAAACTGTAACAAGATTATCATGCTATTCACTGACGGAGGAGAGGACAGAGCTTCAGAGATCTTTGAAGAGTACAACCCTGACAAGAATGTGAGGAACCACATACACGCGCACACACTCTCTCTCTCTGGTAGTCCATCGTGTCCGATGATGACTTCTCCTATAGTTTGTGGGTTCTTTGAGGACTATATAGTCCGATGCGGGAAGCACACTCTCTTTAACAGACAGGGCATGTAAAAATTCTCCTGGTCTTGGCGGGAAGGGGAAGGAACAAGCATGGCCTGCTTTCTCTTCAGCCTTTTAGACCAGCGAGACTCAATTCTCTTGTTCTCATAACGTTTGTACTCCATTCTGATAAAGTTGCTGCCAAACTGTGCGATTCATGGCATTAGCTTCCAGGATGTGGGCTGTGTCCCACACTTCTTAAGGAGGGCTTTTAGTTGGTCTTTCAGCCGATTTGTTTGACCTCCTGCAGAACGGTGGCTGAGATGTAACTGACCATACAGTACCTTACATGGAAGGCAATTTGGTGGCATTCTGATAACATGACCAAGCCATCTCAGTTGGTGAAGCATTATGGTTGGTTCTAGACTACAGCAGTTACTTAGTAAAGAATTGAATGTCTTTAGGTTTTGAGCATAGATAATCCATGTTTCGCGCACAGACACATTTCTATAAATCAAGACTTCTACTGTTTTTATGTACAGCTAATAATAAATACTAAACACTATCATTAACAGAAAATTTGTATTGCTTTTTTAACATTGATATATATACACTACCTTTCAAAAGTTTGGGATCATCTTTAGAAGAAAATTATACTTTTAATTCAGAATGGATGTATTAAATTGATCAAAAGTGAAAAACATTTATAATGTTACAAAAGATTTCTATTCAAATAAATACTTTCTGTTCTATTCAAAATTTTTGAAAAACAATATATCACAAAAATAGTATGCATTATTATATAAGACACTGAAGACTGGAGTAATGACTACTAAAAATTCAGCTTTGCCATCACAGGAATAAATTACATGTTTGAAATTGTAATAATATTTCACAATATTACTGTTTTGCTGTGTTTTTGTTTAAAAAAGGCAGCCTTGGTGAGCAGTGAGAAATCTCTTAAAAAAATGATTATATATGATTTTTACAGATAAGGATGTCCAAATGGCTTTTTTTTGTCCAGAAAGTATAGCAAATATTAACATACATACACATAATTTTCCAATATAGTCATGTCAATATCCTTTGTTTCTTTCTTTTCTGTCAGGTTCGAATCTTCACCTTTTCTGTGGGCCAGCATAACTATGATAAGACACCAATTCAATGGATGGCTTGCAATAACAAAGGTAAAACACTGAAATTGAATGCTAAGAAATTTGAGAGAATTATGTATGTGATATATGATCATGTATTAAGATGTTAATGTTTCCTTGCAGGTTATTATTATGAGATCCCCTCTATTGGAGCCATCAGGATCAACACCCAGGTAAATGACACATAAATGTGAATTCTGTCCAGCATATATGATAGTAACCAGCATCCTGTACATGCAGGAGTACCTGGATGTGTTGGGTAGGCCCATGGTGAAAGAAGACAAGAAAGCAAAAAATGTGCAATGGACCAACGTTTACGTGGACGCTCTAGTACGTCAAATGTTCTATATATAATAGATTTGTTAAATTAGGCTGATTCTGAAGTATTGAATAGCTGTTGTGTTTGTATGTGTGTTGCAGGAATTGGGTCTTGTGATTACAGGCACTCTGCCAGTGTTCAATAAGACCAGCACCAGGAAGAGTCAAGACAAGAATAAGGTGGAGTCTGGGAACAGTGAATTGATGTCTTGTGAATCAGATGAACTGAAGTGGAACCCGATCTGTTTTAATGTCCTTGTTATCAATTGCAGAACCAGAGCCAGTTGATTTTAGGGGTGATGGCCATAGACGTGTCTCTGGGTGACATCAAGAGACTGACTCCACATTACACTGTAAGGCGTGAGAG